TAGTTCCAGTGAAGGGAAATTGTAATGCTACAGCAAAGACATTCTATACACTTATGTGCTTTGTGGCAACAGTTTGGGGAAGGACACATACGGGTGTGATGGTCAGGTGTCCACAAACTTTTGGCCATATAGAGGATGTAGATAAGGAAGATCACAGTATAAGCAGATGCTCACGGTAATGAAATTGACCTACCACAATGGAAGTGGCCGGAGATCCAGGGGCACTAGGACCCCGGGAAGATGGGGCCGTCCCTGCCTGCTGGGTCAAAGGTCAATACAATAGGTCAAAAGCAATGCTTAATAAACAAGAGCAGTTTAGCATGGACTAAATGACAGCACTTGGATGAGTAGTGAGATCTATTACAAGCATGATCAGTCAAGCTGAAATGCTCCTCACTAAGGAAGGTTCAGAGTCAGGCTGCAAGAGTGCATCATAAAATCACCAGGCACAGTATTCAAAACAGATACCATCCAAGCACTGCTTTTATTTAATTAAATACCAAACATTCTTCTAGCATTTCCTTCAGCTGATCCTTATTATTCTAGAAGCCATTATAAAGAGTCCGTGGTAAGTGCTGTGAGGAATCTTCACATAAGAGTAACATCTATCTGAAGCTTCTGTTCTGACCATTCATTATTTTTTAATAGTTTGTTAAGCTGAAGAAAAAAGACATGACTCATCACTGAAAAATGTGCATTCGAATGTATTCACGTCAGCCATGTTGTTTGTGAAGCACAGTCAGGGTTGGAAGAGGGCATCGGAGAAACCTCCATTCTCCTCATAAACACACTGAATGCCACCAGTAGTGGAATTCATGCAGTTTGGAAATTTAGAGTATCGAGTCAAACTTCCAAGTACTAGGAAATGCAGCAGAGCAGTGTTAATTGTGTTCTCAGTGACGAATATCCTATCGTGTCAGTTTGTACACTCCTTTATGTGTTATCACACATATTGCTTTTAGTCAGTCTGAATAAGAACACTGTACTCATATTAGTGATGATTGGTGTTTAGTAGAAAAACAGTTGAAAGGAAACTACACCCTAAAACACATTAAAAATCTTTATCTGGAAATATTTGTGAAGTGTTTAGCGATTCTACTGGTAATTTAGTGGCTGGTGCTGTGTTTTCATTTTTCACATGTACAATGGCATTTAATATGAGAAAAAAATTCAACAATCTTAAACATAAGAGATAACAATCAGATTTCTCATCATTCTCTGAATGTGATGCAGATGATGGTGGTATTGGCATGAAAGTTGAAGCTTTGGAAGCTGATCAGTTTGAGCTGCGTATACAAATGAGGAGAACTAAAGTGCTGCCACTGCACCACTATCAGCCGGTGGCATTATGGGTAATTTAGGAAACCGTTAACCAAAGTGAAACCAGACAACATTAAACCAAGTTTAACTTCAACTCAGAATTTCATTATAAATAAATCTCCAAAACTGTATCGGTGTTTGATTCCTAAAGAAATAAAACAATTTAATCTTAGATTATCTGATAAGACATTATCTGCAGTGGAAGCATGTAACAGTAAAGTAAATATATACACTATAAGCACATCCTGCTATGATTATCAGCACTGTTTCAATGAGTGACAGACAGTAACAGAGCATCAAGTACAAAATAAAGAAAATATAAAATCAAAAAAACAGTCCACCTACCTTTTGCATGACGGATGTTCACTACAAACTTTCTCTTGATCCTCTGGACCTCTCAGATCTGTCATAAAACATGAACAGGGTTGAGTCCAGCTTACATTATTACTCAAGAGATGATCAGTTTTTTTGTAGATTATAAAATAGTACTAGAGTAAATAATACAATTTCAACATCTGGAAACAAAATATAAAAAATAAAAAAACAGCTGCAACAAATGCAAATGATTTGCACCTATTTTTAATATAATTTAAAATTATTTGTTGACATTTTTCATAATCTAAGTGGTAAAGGGAGTATTATTTATATCTTAATTTAAAAAAATTAAAAATTCCTTTACCAGTTTACTTTTCATCCACAAATTTTCCTTGTTTCTATGAACTGACAAATTTACTCACCTGACATGTAGATATTTAGATTTTTATATATAGATATTTAGATTTCCTCACCTTATATTCAGATACTTTATTTCTGATAGTATTTTGCTTGTGGATGTTATAATTTTGTTTAATATTTATGACACAAAGCTCCCACCATAGACTTCATCGCCATGTCATACAATTTAACTGGATTTCCAAAAATATAGGGAAAAAAAAGCTTCATTTTCATCAACTGCTGTTCTACTGAATATTCAAAAAGAGAAAACCAGCATGAGATCATCAAAAGAACACCATCGAAATACACACTTTTATTAGATTTGGACTGTTTGACACAGCCACTGGTCACAGAATCACATTACTATTCAACACAACACACAGACATTAGAGTCATTTGTGTCTGAACTTCACTTTAAGCCATGTTTCAAGGTCATGGATTGCTGTAGCAGCAATATTCAGCTGGGTATGTGGCCTGCGCACAGCCTCCCGTCAGCCCAACTGCGTCAGTATCAGGTGTTAGCTTATATAGCAACAATTAACACAAGAACTATGTATTTCATTTTCCAAACATGTACCAATACTTTAATTATTTAGACTTTCAGGGCACTTGATGTGATTTAAGATGTTAATTTCACCATAAAGCATTAAGTAAGGAATAAAACATGATGGGATATGTGGTTGTAGGAAAATAATCCACAAAAGGGTTGTGTTATGTGGCCCAATATACAGTGAAGTTGAGTATTTGCCTATAACAGCACATCCTGAAGCGATTTATTCCTCTTACACAACAGTGATTCATTCATACAACAACACACTGAGCGGTTATAGTTGTGGAACAGGATACAAGTTCCTGTGAATGAGCTGTTACTATAGAAATGATTAGAACACGTGCATTATTATAAACCTGTGATTGAATTACAGACGGAACTCCTGTCTGGGTTTCTGTTATAGAAAATTAACTTCATTAATCTTCTGACCAATCAGATACAAGAATTCAACAGTGCTGTGGTATAAGACAATTTAGCACTCTATTTTAGTAAGATAAACATAAAATAATGGTTTGATAAATTTCAGATTCGGTTTGAAATAATCTTATTTTGTTTCAGTAATGAGAGAACTAGTTAATATTTACAAAATTCATAATTCATAACAGCCTTAGTAAACTACTTATCAAACATAAATATGAAGTCTTAAAATCTGTTTTTTTTGTTTTGTTTTTGTTTTTTACCATTTTTGGTTGAATGATTTTCTGTTGTGCTAGTGAGATTTTATGTGTACAATATCTAGAAATCTTTCGAAAAATATAGAAAATTGTCAAAATAGGTCTCAGTAAAACTCAGTGTGATTTCAGATCTATCTTCAGATCTATGTTCTAAAGCGAATGACATCAAACATATGACTTATAACACAAAAGTTCGAGCCTGTTCTGAATGAAATCACAATTCAGAATTACCCATGCAGAACGCATGTACAGTACTTTTAAATATGTTCATATATGAACATTCTGTAAAAATTCAAACACTAATATTCCTGTGTTGAAGAGAAATGATGTTAAGAAATAAAACTGCGTTCAGTGATACCTGACATTATCTTAATAACAACTTAATCATGTAAAACCGTGTATCTGGCCATAAATCAGAGCATCATAAACATGACCAGTCTCCAGTCTCTCACTGTGTGCATAATAAAAATCCAAGCAGGCAAAGTGCTGTGTCTAGATAGTATCCGTCTGGAATAAGACGGTGTAATTCATCGGAAGGCGGGATGTCACATCCTGTTTTGTCATAAATTTGTTTCCTGCTCTATGCTGAGGTGGAGGGGAGAAGATGGCCGACTCTGTTCCTCTGTTTCTGCCTCCTCATAATCCGGGTCAAATACAGATGCTCCTGCCTGAGTGCACTGCCAAGAACCATTTTAATTATATCAGTTCGAAAACTTCAGCATCATTCTTTAATCATGTGAGCCCAGAACGCTGTGTTCTTTTGTACTAAAAGCAGTAGGGATGAAAACACTTAAAGCAGTATAGCCTACTAATGCAGTTAATGTCAGTGCTAATTGTTAAGTCAAATTTACTATTAAATGATGATAACTGGTTAAACAAAACCTGTTGTTCAATGTGCATTCAGACTGATTTTAACTAGTAAATGAAGAAAAAGGCTTAATGATTTCTTAATGAGTCATAGTATTGTCCATTAGCATTCAGCGTAATGAGTGAAGCGTGAGAACGTTAGACTGCCTAGAGGAAAACTCTAATGCTTTTGGGTTCAACTAAATGTGCTAATTAGCTGTATTTCAATTTCATCTAAAGATGTAGAAACCACTGCTTTAAATATTTTATGACATGAGTACATTCACGTAACTGTGAGTACAGTCTGAGAGCCTGCAGGCTTTCTGAATTCACTTCCCTTCAGATGGGAAAGAGGAGAAAGATGCTCTATCGGCAAAAACAGCATGCTTTTTTTTCATGCTAGGTGGTGGGTGTTGTGCTAGTGGTTAATAGAATGGTTCTTGTTTCAGTACCATGTAAAACAGAGGAAAGGAAAAAAACCAATTAATATTTATGCAGGATGAAAGCAGCTTCTTCGAGCTTATTATCCACAGCAAATAAGATTTTCATTAATAAAGGCTTCTTAAACTAGACTGCAGATATTAGATACTGATATTTCCTTATGCTGCCTTGTGAATGGGACAGACTTTGTCTCAGGCACACAAAGTCTGGCTGGATTCGATTCTGTACCCTGATTATGTACAATCTGAGGAAAGATATGATATCATTATCGATACGATTATTGTCCAAACCAATATGGCAAGGGTCGGGAACCAATTTTAGACAACAAGCTGAGCTGAAAATAAAGAAATAGAAGAAGCCTTTTTGTTACACATATACATTACAGTGAAATTCTTTTCTTCATATATGGCAATTTGGCAGTGCTGGGGCTTGAACCCTTATCAATAACCCAAAGCCTTTAACCAGGATTGAACTCACGACCTTCAGATTATAAGACTGATGCTCTACCTACTGCGCTAATTTTACAAATGATGTAAAAAAAAGTAATTTATTTCAAAGAATAGAGAGTTTAAATTTGAACAAATGTGCATTAAAAGATACCAGTAAATTATTTACACCATTGAAATAATTAACAGTAATATTTGTATAATCAATTAATCTTTGTATAATCAGGGACCCTTTAACTGTGATTTAAAAGAAAATCCAATGTATCAATTTATTTTATGAATATAAACCAAAATTTTCAATATTGGGCTGAAATATTGGGCTCCCCCAAATAGCGTATAATGTGTATAATAATATATGTGTATAATAATATGGATTTCCACCACTGTAACTAGTAAATAAAAGAATTGCGGACCCTCTGGCTATTGTTTATGGACAGCACGTTGAAAACCATGGCACTAATCAACCTCATTCTACCACAAAGCTAAATTTTTGGCTCCTGAGTGGCATTTGCCCTATCATTGGAAGATTTTTGAATCCGTTTCAAGACTTCGAATCCCTACGAGGACAAAGCCATCTGTGGGTGGGAGAATAAAGAGCAAAATTGGCCATGCTCTCTGGGTGGGAGGTGTGTCATACACTCTCTCCCCTGTCAATCACAGAGATACTAGCCCAGAGGTGCTCACACTTCTATGACGAGATCTACTTTTTCATATTATTATTATTATGGTAAGATCCACCATGTAAAATATGCACGTACACTCTAAACTTGGAGTCTGAGAAAATATTTTGAGAGATTTGTTTTTATTTAAATAATGTTATGCAATCGTGATAAAAACTGTGAGAAAAATCGTGAAAGTAATATACAGCAGTGGGGGCCTGGTTGCATGTCAGCAGTGGACGGAGAGGAGGCGGGTCAATCTGGCCGGTAACGTGTGATGATTCTCACCTGTGTCTTATTACCGCCAGTCTACTTATTTGTGTCTTTTTGTGCTTTCAGTAACTGCCATAACCAGAGAGAGAGAGAGAGAGTGTGATATAGCTGGCAGAGCTTGTGAGACATGCACAAATGCACGCACACACACACACACACACACACACACACACACACTGCAAAGCGTGAACTTGAACCTGACGGAGTGAAAGCTGGACCCATTTCTGTTGAGTTGTTTTGGTTTTGTTGAGTTTTTGAAAGTGCAGACTGAATAAACGCGAGCCCAGAGTTCTGCAAAAATTGCGCCTGTCTCCCGAGTCTTCCTCCACACTTTCACACACTGGGGTTCTACATTGACCTGTTAAGAAGATCGACCAGTGGTTGTCTTGCGATCGGCTGGTGGATCGTGATCGATGTAATGAGCACTTTCACACCCCTGCACTAGCCTACGTGAGCTCATGTATGTAGAAGAGGGCAGACAGCGCTTTCCTCTGAGTGAGTTACGCTGAATGTGATGCATGAGGTTGCTTAGCTTCACATGTCTTGCAGGAAGGACATGAGCTGGCTGGTGGGTGAGAATTGGTAGGTGACTAAATTGAGGAAACAATGGGGGAAGAAAAAAACATGGGTTAAAAAACAGGGTATAATGTTATTAGGGTGACTGCAGGACAAAAGCGTGCACTGAACTTGATATCAATCACTGACAGTCAGCCACCAGCCTGGACCAATCAAACAGAGACTATCAGCTTACCTCTGTAAGCTTTACTATTTTCCATCTGCATGTTCCAAATGCTAAATTATAACCATGTCTTTTGATATGACTGGTTTAAAGAAAAAAGTGCAGAGATTTCAGCTAGCTAACAAGTGTTTTGCGATAATCACAGTTTAGCTCTATTTGGCTCACTGATCACTGAAATATGGTTTCTAAGCAAGTACATCAGGGTATCTGCTTACAGCTTCCTATTTTCAACAGGATATAAAAGCCCAGGACCTAAAAACAGGACATAATAATGCACCAGCAGCGTGAGAATTCAGTTATTGCTAGAATACTGTTTAAAGCAGACTTCACCACTTTCAACTGACATTCTGTACTTAGACCATTAGTTCAAATTCCCTTATCACAATATATCATCATATCACTACATCATCACAACCATATTCATTTGGCTTATTTCTAGTTCAAATCGACATTGTCTCTCCTGTTCTTGTAAATTCCTTTATCTGCTCCTTTCCGCTCCGCTGTTTAGTTCCAGCGGGTTAGTTAGCTGATATGGTTCTGCTTGGAGTCACTGAGGCATGAAGGACGTCCCGCTGAACACGCCCACGCTGACGTTTTTAACCAACTTAAAGACATGATTTATCACCAGTGAGGCAAACAGTGGCCGAGGGACCCATCTGCATCCGACGCTCTTCAATCCCAGTTCAATTTGGGAAATGTCTTTAAACGTCTCCTGTCTGACCTACTGCACGGACGATATTTTAATTCTTCATCTTGAGATGATCAGGTTCAAGTCTGAGTGCACGAAACATTCGAACAATCTAACATTTTATTCTTTATTACTGAGGAGACATCCAACTCAGTAATATCCAACTGAACATCCTGTTCATACACAGTTTGCTCGCACAGCATATGAAAATGAGGGCTCTTTCTTTCTCTCTCTCTGTCTGTCTGTCTGTCTCTCTCTCTCTCTCTCTCACACACACACACACACACACACACACACACACACACACACACACACAGAGATCTGGCTTCCTTTTTTTGACATGTCCTGATCAACCATCCTTATCTCATACAATGCTCTTCTCCATCCTGTACGGGCCTGGGAGCCTCTCTCTCTCTCTCTCTCACACACACACACACACACACAGGCTGCAGATTAAATAGATTAACCCCTTTCTGTTCTGTCCAGGTCAAAATCAACCATTTTACGGTTTTTTTTCTCCTAGAAGCAGAACAATATCGTTTTTTTTTAACACAAAGCCCGCTGTGCATGGAATAATTTCCCTAATAAACAGCATGAGCATGCTTAAAAATGACATGATGTTTAAAACTGGCTGCTGTGTAAATATGAAGTGGTGTCCCTTTCCCTCCATCTTTTAATTCCACTCCCACCTGCAATCAGGAGAATTCCTGAGCAATGGGAAGGGTAGGAGTGCTCTGTTTCCATCAGGAATGTTTATACTGATCATCAGTAAGATAAAGAGTGAGCATTTTGAAATGAATTACATGTGTCTTGCTGTAAAAGCTGAACAGACTGCTTTATGGGAAAGGAACTGAACATTGCTAAATAATAAACACAACAGAACAGTAAATATACAAATCAGAGAAAAGTAGTATTTTAGTTCAATCTGGTTCATATTAACGTTTAGTTTCAGCTCAGATTAGCATGCATGGTGGGAGAAGAACCTTTTTACAGCCTTAATGATGCAGGTTTATTGGGCGTTGATGAAAGAGAAAAACAAGGAAAGAAAAATAAAAGAAGTTTAACAAGAAATAAATGAGGTTTAATAAAGCTGGGCAACTAGACCAAGTAACAATACTAAACTAATACTAATAATATGTTCACAGGGTCTTTCCAAAACCAAATAAAAGTGACTAACATGTAAAATAACTGCTGAACATCTCACGCTGTGAGCCATCAACACTCTTTAAAAAGAACCCAAATATATACCTATTTAACACTACATTCAGATTCTGGTTTTTCATTTATTTTGTATATTAGTTATTTAATAATTATTAATAACAAATATTTTATAATAATTATGTTTATTACATTGTAGTTGAGTTTTAATCCTGCACAGCAAAGCTAGTCATGCTACATAAGGACCCCTCCCCCCCATATTTTTCCATTTTACTGTATTTTAATCTGTTAACTCAATTTTTTTAACTTAAGCTTTTCTTTTCTGCTGTATAAATGTTATAGCTGTTTTAAATATATGATAAACACTTTATAATCTCTGTTCCTGAAATGATCAGTCTTATTTCAGTGAGCTATTTTTGAGTTCACCACATGGTTAGTCATGCTACTGATCCGTTTCAGCCAGGCTCAGTTGCTGAAAACACACAGCGCATGATTACAGATGACGAACATCAGTGGAGGAGAGACGACAGAAAGTAGTAAGAAAGGAAATAAATGCACAACAAACCCACGCGGCTCGGCTTTCCACGCTGATGAGGAAATCCTACACTGACAGATGCACACTTCCTCTCATCCTGCTCTTCTGCTCCACAGCTTCACACTTTTCTGTCTTTTTTTCTTCAAGCTCCTCTCAATTTTGTGTTTTTCTCCTTTCTTCTTTCCTTCACCTCTCTCACTCTCCTTCCATATATATAAATTTCTCGCTTCTCTCTTTTCCACTGCTCCTGTCTGTCTTTCTCCTTCTTCTTCTCGTCCTCTCGCTTTGACTCCACCCCTCTTCTCTCTCCACCCTAACTGTAATTCTTTATCTCAGAGCAGCACGAGAAGCCAACGCCCAATCAGGCCCTTTGGTGCCGTTTCCACAGCAACGATCCTCTCCACTCCATCGTGGTTAAAATCCTCTGATGCTCTGTTCTGTACTGTTACACACACACACACACACACACAGTGCACTAACAAGAGTTGTGCGACAAACACTCAATTAATCATCAGTGAAACCCATCCAGTGTTTAGCTGTGTAAGAAATCCTCATATAAAACTGAAATCTACCTGTACACACACTGTTCACTTCATCTGTGATCACTTAGTAACATGTATGCCCCGAACACACACTGTTAATAGTTTTTTTGGCTCTTAGGGTTGGCAGAATGCCAACATGATATTGATACTGCACTAAAGTACAGGATGATATGCTTTTCTGAGAAAATCACAGATATTATCTATACTTTAGCACTGGACGATTCCACTCTTACTCACAGTGGGCCTCGTTTATTGATCTGAATATGAGCGCAAATCTTTTGCAGGAGCATTTACACAAGAAACCTAGTGTTTATGAAATACTTCATTTGTAAAAACATTCATGTTGCATGGGAACTCGTGAGTTTGTGTAAATTTACATACATGGAGACTCACTAATATGAACTTAGAATCATCAGCTTCAAATCGTATAATTTGCGATGAGTTACTGCATTTTTTGGGTTAAAGTTTAAATCGCTAATTTATTTT